AGTTGCTTGATTCATGTAGACTGAACCAAGACTTTATATGCCACATATATGGAACAGTTTTTCTTGGGCATGGAGGATATGGAGATGATGAGCAAACAAATATTCCACCTTTTCTATTGATCTGTCCCTTTTTTATATTCCTGGTTTACTCCTTAAAGGCACTGGCTATTCAGGCAGCTAAGCTAGAATCCTCAGCACTGCTTGTCTGGATCATGGGCAGGGGGGGCAGGGGGCGGAGGTTGTTTATGTGAGAATCATGTACTATATGGAGAGTATGGAGCATAGATAGTCTCCCATAGGGTACATTTTCCTGGATTAGACACTGCTCATTTAATTCTATGACAGACGCTAACAAGATCAGAGGGCATTTCACCAGCTGCTTTAGAAACACCACCATGAAATATGGAAAACCAGTGTCGGTTCCACAGTTCCATTGCATTTAAGAGGGTTTAGTTTCAGCACCAAAATCACAGCTTACTGTTCTCCCGTTCCAACATCAGTCAATGACTTATCTTTATTAGTTATAATGAATTTATAATTTGACTTCATAAGATAACTAATTTTATTGTCTTAAACCTTATCTTGACGGTACTCACACAGCCTTTGCTGAGCATATCTAAAGCACTCCCAAAGCCGTAGGATGAAGGCTCAGGCAGACAGCTCTGCCCCTGCCATGCTAAAGGGCTGACGGCATTGCAGAGCAACACATTTGCAGGAGATGGAGCTTTCTCAAGGCTGTATCCAAACCACATGAGAGCACACACAGGACGTCTGGACCTTCACAGATCTTGCCACCTTCATTTGGAAATGCAAGGTGCTGTTCTGTAGACTGGTGGTTTAGGCTCCTCTTACCACCTTGGGGGTTCCCATACCTGTGATAACCTGCTGTGATTTCTAACAGTACTGAGAGTGTTTTGGTAGTCTGCTCTGAGGAGGGGCTGATCATTTTTGTGCTTGAAAAGCCTGCACACATCTTGGAGTGCTATTCTTCCATGTCAGAATTAAGACAATGCAACATTTAAAAAAATTAAATTTAGCATATGCTTGATGATACCTGTGGACTCTGCTAGAGTCCTGGGAGGCTTGGCACTCTGCTCCCAGCTCCCTGAGCACTTGCAGAATGGCCTCACTCTGCCCAGGAATGCTCCCCAGGTAACTATGCAGGCGATCTCACCCTTCAGTGCACCCTGTACCAGATGTGCTTTGTACCCACAAACACATATTCTTGGAAATTTCCAATAGATAGACCAACTGGTCATCATTTCTAATTAATTAGTTTCTAATCTGTAAGTTGACCTTAACAGCAAGCTCTTACATTAGTAACTATCTTAGTAGTGATGCTAGCAAGCTTACAGTTACATCAGGTTTAAAAGCCATTTACAGATACAGGAATTAATAGAATCAGTACCAGTAATTCCTTGTAAATTAAAGTATCAATGATGTTGCTTTCATGTAATGAAGGAGCCTATGCTATTAATTTTAAGACTTTACATAACTCTCAAGGACAAGCACATCAACATTTGACAACTGGAGACTGACCATATTTTGTGTGTGCGGTCCATGGTATGCTCACAAGCACAAACAAGAACAAAGCAGAAGACATCAGCCAGGCTGGGCGGCAGCTGTATTTGTAACACAGCAGTGAAAGAAAAGAGAGAGCCATCCTTTCCACACCTTTAAACCTGGACTACCTCCAGGAGCCCGCAGCAGCAGGCACATCCCAGCACGTCTCTTTCTTGTCATGCAGAAAGCTAGGGTCAAAAATCCTCCTTGAACAGAGAGGCGAACTATGTGAGAACATCAGACCCTGCTGCCCATGTTTTGCAGCAGTGCAGCCCCAGGCCTGTTGAAAGACTGATGCTTTGCTACGGTTCTTACATGTATTCCCTAACCTGGAAGCTTCCTCATGTATTCCTACCCTTGCCTGTCCTCCCATATTACAGCAGTAACAGCTGTCACAGAACAAACTCAGCCAAGATTGCCCCCAGCCTCCGTATCCCTGACCAGTCCCTCCTTATCTGTCAGTATCAAGTCCATAGAGTACCCCACCCTGTCAGCTCTTCCATCACCTGTGTGAGTGAGTTATAATTACTGCACTCCAGAAACCTCATGGATTGCTTGTGCCTTGCTGCGTTGCCCTTCCAGCAGGTGCTTAAAGTTCCCCTTGAGGACCAGGGCCACATTCTGTTTATTTGAAGGTCTCCTCTACTTCTTCCTGATTCAGTATCTTGTAGTAGACAGCCACAGCAGCATCACCCATGTTGTTCTGCCCTCTAATCCTAGCCCATAAACTCTCAGCTGGCTCATCATCCATGCCAAGGCAGAGCTCCATGCATTACTTCTGATTTCTCACATGAAGGGCACCTCACCATCCTGCTTTGTCCTCCTTAAGGAGCCTGTATCCATCCATGGCAGCACTCCAGTCGTGAGCTATCTCACGCTGTCCCCATGATCCAAATGAGATTGCAGCCCTGCAACTGTACACAGATGTCCAATTCCTCCTGTTTGTTCCCATGCTGCATGTGTTACTATACAGGCACTTTAGACAGGCACTTGCTCAAGCTAACTTCCCAGAAAATGTATGAGAGCTTCCCCCATAATGCTGTTCTCTAGGCACTTCCTTTTATGTATACATACAGCTGGGGGGAAGCTTCTGCCCTGTTTTCTTCTTTTCAAAGTCTCTCCTTGAAATCATGTCATCCCACGCCCCTTGCTTACCAAACCAGTCCACCACTTCCTCAGTTAATGTGGGTCATCATCTCTCACCCTGACACCAACCAATCGCTCCTAGTTTAAAGCTCTCCTAAGCCTATTGGAAAAAGTGCTGTTGCCCTACTTGGTCAGGTGGATCGCATCTTTTCTTAATAGTCCTGAGTCCTCAGAGAGAGTTCCATGGTCATAAAAGCTGAATCCCCTTTTCTGACAGCAGCTGCGCAAACAATTGTTGACCTGCAAAATCTTTTCACTCCTTCCTCCTCAAGCCCTTCTTCCTCACTGGGAAAATTGAGAAGAAAACTACCTGGGTCTCCAAGATATTGATCACCACCCCAGAACAATATTGTAGTCATGCTTGAAATGCTCCATGTCTCCCCTCGCAGTATTGTTGGTGTCCATGTAGGAGAGCAGCAGTTATTAAGCTTGCTTCTCTGCAGCATCCTGGATCCAAGTCCCTGGTGAGCAGCAAACCTCCCTAGACAGCAGGTCAGGTCAGCAGGTAGGGGCCTCCATCCCATGCAGGAGGAAGTTTCCCCCTACTATCAGTCACCTCTTCCTCCTGGTGTTCCTCTGTAGCTCAGGCTCAGCTGGCATGGACACTTCATTGGAGAAAGCTCCCAACCCCTTATCTGCTACCAGGGTACTGACAGATCTGCAGCTGCAGCCATCCTCCTGGTGCCAGGAGTCACAAGCTTCCAGCCTTCACCATCATGGGAGTCTCCATTTCCTAACTCGATGAGCACAGACTCCACCTGCCCCTCCTATAGGAATAGAGTGGATTCATCTTCCTGAAGCTGCAGGGTCTCAGAGAAGATCCAGCTGATCCCTTTCTCATCATCTCTGATGCTGTGTAGGCTGCCGACATCCTCCCACAGCTCCTGGTAGCACACACCTTCCACCCATGCACACCTCCTGCAGGCAAGGAGCCTGTATCTCCCAGCCTCAGTGAGAGGCCCCAGGCACTCAGCCCCAGCCCCAGGACTGGAGAGCTGCACCATGCCTCAGCAGCTCAGCCTGAGCCAAGGCCTCTGCACCAGGGACAGCTGATCTGGACAGTGCTGGGGACCATGACCTGCAGCACACCACCACCACAGCTGAGCATGAATACACTGCTCTGCAAAGGCTGCTGGCCTCCTTCTGCACAAGCTGCTGCACCAGGAGCTGCTGCACCAACCATACCCAGGAGCTGCACTCCAACTGGCATCTCTTCAGCACCTGCTGCGAGGCTGCCTGGCAGCCACAACAGGGCTCAGCTGGGACAAAACCTCCCAGCACTCTTCGGCCAGGAGCAGCTCACAGAACTTGCTAGAAGATACTAGATCAGTTAGATCTTGCTAGAAGCAGCACAGCCTCCCGTAGCTATCCCTTCCTAAGAGCATCACCAGAGACCCTGATGTTCCTCCAAGAGTTCCCAGGTTTCCCCCAGCAATCCCAGAAAAAGCTTCTAGAAGATCCTGAAGCGGAGACAGGAACCTGCTGCAGCGAGTGCTGCGTCCCTTGGCTGCCTCAGCTAGCCATGCTCTCCGGCCAGGGAGGGGGGCAGAGGGCAGCCCCTCTCACAGGCCTCAAATCATTTTCAGCACAAGTTTTAGCTCTTCAGTTTCACTGAAGATTAACACATCAACAATAGAGCACAATCACAAAAACGATGTAAATCCTAAAAAAAATGTAGTTGATGAGATTTCAGCAAGCTTCCACTGCACGTGAATTGTCAAGAACCTCTTCCTTGTTCACGAATAAAATCACTAAGCCCAAAATCAAGGTATGGCACAGATGATCCTCCGAAGCGTGCTGTCCTCTGCCTGCTACCTGTCACCCCTCCTGCAAGTCTTGGCCACAAGGACATGTAGCCCCGACACTGCAGCACTCATGGCCTTTGCTGCGGCAGCACCTTCTACCTTCAGCCAGTCACAGCCCCTTCAGGGAAGGAGAGAAGGAAGGAGGGAAGGAAGGCAGACAGTCAGTCAGTCAGTGCTGCCTCACTCCACAAAACGGCCGAAGCTGTTCCTTCCTGTGACAGTTACTGCACTGCCTCCCCAGCCCCCAGACCAGGTTCCCCCATGGCAGTAGCACCCACCCCACACAGCTGGGCTCTCCCCTCGTGCTGAGGCAGCCTCCCCTGCGCTGGGGTTTGGGGGTGAGGAGCCCCAGGGTGGAGTAACCAGGGGCGTCCCCCTGCGAGGGGAGTAAGCGTGGCAGGGAGGAGCACGGGGCTGGGCCCTAGGGAGCTGCCCGGGCAGGGCTGCAGCTGTCGGTCCCTGCTGGGTGCTCTGGTGGCTCCCAAGATGGCTGACCTGAGGGTGGGCTTCGGCTTGCTCCTGGAGCCTCTGGGCTTCATTAAGGTCCTTGAGTGGGTAAGTGAGGCTGGGGAGGCGCAGAGGGGAGCTTCATTCTTCTCATGGGGCCATTTCTTCTCCTTTCCCAGGTCTGGCTTTGTGCCTGTGCCTTAGCTGGGTAGGCCTGAAGCGGTGTGTGCTGACGGGCAGCCTGCTCCCTGCCTCGTGTCACTGGTGGGGGCGTTCAACACAAGGCTGCTCTTCAGACAAGCCCTTTGGCTGGGGGTGAATAAAACAGTTCTGCGGATACATAAAATCTATGTGTGAATTACAAGTTTGTCATAGTAACTTGTGTTGCTGTGTGGTGTGTGTTCTGATTATCGGGGGGGTTAGGGTTTTGCTAGCGACAAAGGGAAAACAAGAGTTAGAGAGTCAAGCTGATGTGCAATGCTCTGAGCGTGTAGCTTCTAGCTGTGCTAATGTACTGTTGTGGATGTCTGACGCTCCTAAAAATACTTCCCTTATAAACTGCAAGAGCTACTGTGCTGGCTTTTAGCATTCAACAAAAAAGAAGAAACTTTTACTGTAGAACAATGAAAAATATCAACAAAAAGGACTTTCAGATTGCCTTTTGTTATTGATATTGCTTATGTTTTGGGATTATAGAAACTCAATGTTTCCATTACCTCTTGACTTCATTTCATGCTTTCCCATTGCTGACTTAGTCCCTGTTTCTTGCTTTCGTTAGCTGTTTCAGCTAAAAGTTTGAGCTTGTTTCCTTTGAGCTCTAGTAGTGTGTACTAATATGTCTGCGTATCAATTCCTATAGATTTTTTCCATCATTGCTTTTGCCACATGTGGAGGCTTTCAAGGTGAAACTATCCTCCTAGTTTCCTGCAAAGATGTGGTAAACAAAACAATTACAGCTGCTTTTGCTTATCCATTCAGGTGAGTGTTAGCTCTTTAGTTGTCACTCATACACTAATTATTTCTTATTCACTTTTTTCCCATCTCTCTCCCTATGAATACTTACTGTGTATATCTGAATTAACATGTGAAATCTCTGGCTTGCTCTGCAGTAGTAAAAAAAATAAATAAATAAACTATTTAGGTGTAATTGTTCAAAGCATTGTGGTTGTCAGTGCCCTATAGAAAGAATTATGTAGAAATAGCAGCAGACTGTATTACTGCTTTGTATCACTCTGCCTTAAGTTCTAGTCTAGCAGTGCACGAATGCTACAGAAGGTAGTTAATAAGCAAAACAATGCAATTAATCTTAGCAGCCTATTTCTTCATTAGTTTGTAGTTGCTTTGTAGACATAGTTAAGATTATTTTGGATGTGTCTATTATATATGTTTAAAGACTGAATGGAAAATGCTTACTGTTCAGTGTATTCCACTATGAGCTTGGTGAGGGTGTTTGGAACATAAAAACTAAATACTCCGCTGTCATTGTAGTGCTCTTGTAGAGACAAGCTCCTTTCCTGGAGCATGAGGAGGAAAGCTTGATCTTTGTTCTCACAGCTGCACAGTTACAACAAGCACAGAGTTGGTGTTCCATATGTGTTCAATAAGCATAGTGTAAGTATAGAAATGGGTTCAGAGGCCAGCTAGTAAAAACTAGTACAGAATTACAGAATTCGGTCACAAAACCCAGCATTGTAATAGCACTTGGAGGGGAGAATGGGAATCTGAAAACAATTCTGTGCTGGTCACTGAATGGCTGCTGCTGGTCACAAGTTTTCTTGAACTTCCTCTGCCTGAAGGTTCAGTACTTGCATTTTCTTGTGCCTGTAATACAACTCAGTGCCTTTTAAGTCCCGATCCCCTCGTTTAATTGCCAGTCTCTAAAATAATGTTGTTTAAGTCTAAAATGGTTTAGTTAAGCCTGCTTCCAAATCTGGGCTTTTCTTCAGTTGCTCTAAACGTAAGATTAAGATTCTTTTCCTGATGCTGCTGTTGTATATCTCAATGTAGGATGGGGAACAATCTTCAGATGTCTTGAGAAATCTTTGTGTTGTATAACTGATATGTTATACAAATATAAATTGTCTTTGAGAGTAAACTTACACAACCAGAATGCTGAAGCACTGTTATTGTGAAGCGTGACTGTACGGAGTTTCCACTGTAGCAAACTCTAACTACGTGAAGGCTATAATCTTTGCAGGTTGGACACTGTTGTATTTAGTGCACCAGACCCAAAATGCTGTGGTGGTAATTGGACTGATGTCTATCTCGTGGGCAACTTCTCCGGCTCTGCGCAGTCCTTTGTTACGCTTGCAGTGTTGGTATTCCTCTACTGCACTGCTGCGCTGGTGGTATATATTGGATATAAGCATGTGTATCAGCAAAACAGCAACTTTCCACTGACTGTAAGTAAGATAAAGTTAATGTTTTGCCTTTGAAACCACAGAGAGAGCAGAAATACTGCAAACACAAGACTGTCTGAATAACTCATGAATATTCAGTAGTTCCAAAAGCTAGTTGGAGTGTGAATGCAACTCTCTCAGGCTAGTCACTACAGCACTCTAGCAGAAAAGGGGACCCAAAGCCCTTGAACATCCATGGCATCATACCTTATGCAGTTATTGAAATGAAGAGTGGAATGAAGTTCCACCTTCTTAGGTGAACAGTGTCTTCACCACAACTTTTGGGTTGTATCATGTATTTGAATATACAATTGTTCTACAGGTAGAACCTTTTCTGTTAGTCTCTGTGAATTTTCCCTGTGTAGAACACCTGCTATGCAGATGCAATTGGCAGAGGAAATAGTTATCTCGTGAATTTTAGTCACCTTAAATAACAAACTCTTTATCCTCAGAATAAGACATTTCAGAGCATGCCCAGAACAGACCTAGTGACTGTTCAAGCCAAATTTTAGCATATTAGCCATCCAGATTTAAATCCTCTCCTCTTTCTCCCCTGTCACCCCCACTTTACTAAACTTTGACTTAAATTTTTGTGACATAAGTGCTAGGCACCTGATTCTAGAAACTGATTTCCTATAAAGGATAGGATGGCTTATGCTTGATAGATAGAAAAGGCATACAGTTTTGTAGCTGATTATCAACACAGATTACAACTTGCATTGTAATTACAACATTGTCAAGCGCTAAATTTGCTTGTGATCATTAGCACTAATGCCATTATTTTGGTGACATAATTAGTACTGTCTATGCCTTGCTCTCTTACGTACATTCATGCAAAATTTTTTAACCTAATAACGAGTACTTCTCTTCTGTAGGACTTCTATATCACTGTCATAACAAGCTTTCTGTGGTTGGTCATTACTCTTGCTTGGGCAGCAGCACTTACTGACATCAAAATGTCCACAGGGGCCCGCATTATTCCAGGAATTGAATCTTGCAAAGCACCAGCAACATCTTGTCAGTTTGTTTCTGTGACCAGCATGGCAACTCTGAATGTGTCTGTGGTATGTATGCCTTCCGCCATATGGGTACAATAAATGTGTTAGAAAATAGCCAATGGCACCCGAGAGCCCTGTTCTACTGACTGCACATGTTGCTTTATGTGTTAAGATTGCTTTATGGGTTATCAGTCATTCAGGCCTGTTAACACTGTGGTAAAACACTGGCCAAATTTTCTTCTTTAAAAGGAAACTTGTTTCCTCAAAGCAATGAAGAGAAATAACCTGTAGGATCTGTCTCTAGAGCTGTCAGATGCAGTATTTCCAGACATATTTTAGTCTCTGTATTATTTCTGTCTGTAGCTAAAAGCACCTTAAAATACTTTCCTGAGCCACTCAAGTGGTGTATTGATTGATGTAAGTAAGGAGGAAATACTGTGCTTTGTGCTTTGCCTTTTGGTGCTGAACCTAGCTTTTTCATCAACTGTGAGAATTTTTACACATCAAATAGAGGTTCCTTGTAATACAATGATGTAAAGCTCATGTTCATAGCAAGAATTCTTCACAGCAGGGCAAATCAGGTTTATTGTATGATCTTCCTAGTGAATCCTGGTTTTCGAAATTCTGGCTGTTGTTCATTGGCCCTGTAGTAATTAGCCATGTGCTCTGGATGGGCATATGCAGAGGTGCTGAGTGACAGAAAAGAATTTGCTTAATTCCATGCAAAGGGCAGAGTAAATTGACTATCTGATTTCCAAAGAAGTCTGTTAAAATAGCTTGTAATACTCTAAAGCATGTGGAAATGTCTTGTCCAAATCAAAGGTATGTCAGCGGTTGTTTCTGGCTTGCCTTGCAGTCATATTCTGGTTTTTGGTTTGGGGTTTTTCTGTTTTGTTTTGTTTTGTTTTTTAAAAAAAGCCCTTAATGTCACTTTCTTCTTAACCTACAGGTGTTTGGCTTTCTTAATATAATTTTATGGGGAGGAAATATTTGGTTTGTACACAAGTACGCCAACCAGTACAACCAATCAAACCGAATTTCTCGAAGACCAGGAATATATTCAATTCAAAGAGGAATACAAAGACAACGTGATACTTTGAAGTGGTTCCACTTTTACATCACACTGTCAAGAGCACGGAGCCATTAGGATTTATTTCAATAATAACTGACAATACTTTCCACAATCTTCTGTTTTGTGCTGTGATTTGATATAAGGTCCTGGATACTCTGATTGAAGCGTTTGTTACCTTGATATACATTTTACCTTTCAAAATTGCACAGCTTTTTGTTACAGTTTTTGAAAAGCAAAATGTTAAGGTTGTCTGGATGTTGACTCTTTCAGGTTATTAAAATTAGCCTTATAGGAGGGATGGGTGAGAAGCAACTGCATTTGGGTTATTACTGCAACTTCTTTAATTTTAACTAGCTTTGGCTGAAAAATGAAATGTAAATGCAACCAGGGCATGTGAAAATGCAGCTAGGCTTCTTCCTATCACTGATATCTTGCAAAAGCCATATGAGTAAAGCTCATCGCTCTGTCAGAGTTGCTGCCATCACATGTTTGTTTCCAAATACTCCATTTGGATTACTGTATCAGATCTGCTGACGGGCCTGTCTGGAAGGACACTACTCCTGTGTTTAATATGTTGTTATTATTTAATGGCTCGGGACTGTGTATCACTCCTGCAGACTAAAGCTGCTTGGTGCTGCCCAGCACTTCTTTCTGTCAGCCCACAGTGGAGGGGGAAGGGGAGTTTATTAAATTTCAGAGAGTTATAAGTAATTTCCATTTCCTTTTGGAAGAGGTAAGGAGTACAATGCTGTTTCCTGTTTAAAATACTAGCTGTGTTACTGCCATCAGAAAACAGGCTTGCCGTTCTTCAGTGGTCACTCGAGTAGCAGGTGCCCATCCTGCCTTACAAAGGCCTCTCTCTTGAGGGAGGATAAGAGAAAAGCAGAACGCAGTTCTAACGCTTGCATCAAAAGTATGGCACTCAAAATCATAATGTAGTCTTCTCAGGACCTTTCCTCTGTGTCCTGGACCTTCTGCAACCCAAGAGGGAATTCTCAGCAGAAGACTGGGGCATAGGGTTTAGGAAGGATGATATTGTACTCAGAAGTGAATTACTTCTATTATGGGTTGGTTTGGGGTGTTTTTGATAGCAACACCTGGCTATAATCTAAAGGGCTGATGAAACTGCCAAATGGTTTCAACAATGAAGTGGGTTTTTAGCTTCACACTTGAAGGTCTTCAAGCAGATTGGTGTTAACACAGTGATTAACCCAGCTCTCTCCACATCCTTGCTTGGGTAGATTTTATAGGTGAGTAGGCCAGGGCACGTACGTTCTGCTAGCAGTCCTGTGCTGTTTGCACTTCCTTTACCATCAGAAAATGAATTGTGTCTGGCTAGTCTTCTGTCACTTCAGTGGTCTGAACTGGGTCTTGAAACTTCACTGGAAGTATTGATGACAAAAAGAGAAATGTGATCTTTTCTTTTGTCTCTGCTGCCAGGCCCAACGCAGCAGAATTGCATTGAGCTATAAATATGGTATGACTGTCATGGAAAGGCTGCGTATGTAGCAATTACAATGCTTTGGTGTTAGTAACATAGAATACAAAGCTTATATTGAGATTTGAAGTGCTGAGTCTGTTGATTATAAATATAAGGAGGTTTAATTTTGAAGTGCTCTTGCACCAGCTGTTCTGCCTCTCAAGAACCCCTGCGAACAATTACCTTTGTGGTATCCTTTCTGACCTCTTTGCTTGCATCAATTCAACATACTAACTTCAAACCTTAAATCCTCATTCCTCCTTGAAGTGAGTTCATTTATTACCTAACACTGCCCTGAACTGATAGTTGTCACAGATGGCTTGTTTTGTAATCTTATATCACTACAAATAGGTGGGAGGAGAGGGACAGAGAAGAGTTGGGGAAAGAATCATAAAATCATTAGGTTAGAAGAGATCTCTAAGATCATCAAGTCCAACTGTTGACCTAACACCTCCATGCCCACTAAACCATGTCTACAAGTGCCACATCAGCATGTTTTTTGAACCCCTCCAGGGATGGTGCCTCCTCCACTTCCCTGGGCAGCCTGTTTCAATGCTTGACCACTCTTTTGGTAAAGAAATTCTTCCTAATGTCCAACCTAAACCTCCCCTGGAGCAACTTGAAGCCATTTCCTCTTGTCCTATCACTTGTTACTTGAGAGAAGAGACCGACCCCCACCTCACTACAACCTGCTTTCAGGCAGCTGTAGAGAGCAATAAGGTCTCCCCTCAGCCTCCTCCAGTCTAAACAACCCCCATTCCCTCAGCTGTTCCTCATAAGACCTGTTC